CCCCCTTAAGCCCCCCTTGAAGCCTCCCTTAAGCCCCCCCTTCGTCGAAGGTCTGGGGCCCAGCCCCTTTCACCCTGTACAGCTCATGCTTGAGTTCTTTTGGTTTTCGTGCTATCTTGGGGCCCACCCACGCAAAATCAAGTCTAAGCACAAAGTGAGAGCAGCAGACGTGGATTTTGCAGGCTTGGACTCAAAGTGAAAAGTTGTGGTTGTACAGGCCTGGGCCCGCAGTGAACAGAGCAGGCATTGATTTTGGAAGTTTGAGGCCGCAGTGCCGCAGTCTTGACGGAACGTCAGTTTGTTTGTTTGTTTGTTTGTTTGTTTGCCCGTCCGTCCGTCTGCTACAGGTTTCTGTCGGACTGTGGAAATCTTAGCTTGGGCCACATGCAATGCTTGTGCGTTTTGTCGGCTGTTTTGTTTTGCAAGGATGGGTCAGAAGGCATCTTTCTAACCAGTGCTGCTGAATGCCTTTTTGATGAGGTCTTTCATCGTCAGTACTCCTTAGTCTTTGCGTTTAGCCGGAAAAGAAGTGTACGATACAATGGAGTACCAGGACGGATTAAAGAACTTTGTCGTTGTTTCGTTGATGTCATTGATTTGGTATGCAAGTGTTCGTGTCCGGCGTCAATTGCCCAATTCTGCACACTTCCACTTCTGCCTCGCTGGGCATCGTAAAGGTATCGGCATGCACGTCCCATGCTGCCCAGGACCAACTTGAATGTTCGCACACTCTTGCACAAACACTCGCACGGTGCGCGTCGCTATCGCGAGAAGGTGATCCGGTACGTGCAGGGGTGCACCATCGTTCCTGACCAGAGCTAAAGGAGACAGGCAGTGGGCGTTTTGGAATGTCCACGTACCTCTCGACAGCGCACAGGTTCACTAATCTCCTCTCCCCGAAAAAGTATTTTCGCGATATTCTATCGGTGCATCGAAGTGGCCCATGCAGCTTAACGTTGCTTCCTGCCTCAGCTTGAGGTGCCGGACACCGTTGTGATGGCGAAAGACTGCACGAAGCTCGGGAGCTCCCACGAGTGCTTTGTGCCGATGCTTGACAACGTGGCCGGGGAAGCACACATCATAGACATGCCTTGCAAGCACCTGCGGAGGTCAGCGACACTTCTCTAGGGATTGAGTGATTAACTTGACAGTCGCGCATGTGTGCCAACATCGTTGCGTGGTCCTCAGCCTTTTATCCAATCCATAGAGTATGCCATAGAGTTCTTTTAATGAAGCAAAGAATCCGCGGCAAGCTGATGCTGGCGACTGGGATTGAGACCATTGGTCAGCAATGCTAGTGCATGAAGAATTCTTGGAAAGAGAGGGCGGGATGGCCTTATCGTAAAGGCATTGTGTGGCAAGTTCCATATGCATTCACAAATAAGTTCTTCCAGGCGGAGGTTGCTCCGGTTCGAGGTTTGATCATAAACCCTAAACCCTTAACCCTAAACCCTAAACCCTAAACCCTAAACCCTAAACCCTAAACCCAAAACCCTAAACCCTAAACCCTAAACCCTAACCCTGTTCCCTCTTCTGACAAGGTGAGCCGCTTTCTGGTGATCGCTTTGGTGGGATGGCCCTACGGGGCCGGAGTCCAGTCGTACAAATTGACCGATTCGCCGGTCAACCTCACCAGTTCAAACGACCCGACAGTCGCTCAAAAGGCCGGAGCACTGTAGGGCACGAAAGTCTGCCACATTCCTCCGAAACGCCACACTAAACCCTAAACCCTGAACCCTAGGTGGAGAAATTGGTTGAGAAGAACTTGGTGCACGACGCCGAAGACGACAGCAAGTTTCCCATGCCCAAGGAGGCCGGCAGCACGTCTCTAAATTGTTGTCAGACACCTGGAGAGCCTTGCGTCCTTGACGTTGCTTTTGCTTCATGAATGTCCGAGGCACCCGGAACCCTAAACCCTAAACCCTAAGCCCTAAACCCTAAACCCTCAACCGGAATCTCTGAGGCACCCAGAACTGCCCTAGTAGGTGCGAGAAAAAACGCCTTTAAAACCTGACCCGAGCGAGGAAGGCAACTCCACGAACGGCTCAGATTTCGCCGATCTGGCCCGCCACCTTGAGTTCATGATGCTGAAGGCTAAACCCTAAACCCCAAACCCTAAACCCTGCTCTCAGGGTTCAGGGTTTAGGGTTTACGGGTTTAGGGTTTACGGGCTTGGGGTTTCGGGTTGCGGGGTTTTGGGTTTAGGGGTTGTGGGTTTCGGATCTGAAGCTCTGCCCTCAAGATCGGGCTCTAAATAGTTGCCAATCTGATTCCTCAGGGTTTTTTAATAGAGCTATGTCTACTGTAAAAGGAGCCCAGAACCCTATTCCAATTATTAAGGCCCCTACATTACCTTGCATCTTTGACTCTAAGCCTGAGAGCTCCTTCTCTTCAGATGGCACAAGTGGAGACCATCGTCGAGTTGCAGCAAGCTGAGATCGCCGCGCTGCAGGCCGAAAACGAGGCCATCAAAGCGCAGATCGGTTGCCTCACTGCTTTGGTCGGCAACATCTACTAATATTCATTCATATTTCTATGCCACGTGCCATGCCTTACATGATAAGTATGTCCTTCTCCGAAGAGAGCCCCACCAAGGTTTGGACGTCCAGCATGTCGCAATGGCACAGAAGCGCTCTCGGGATCCCCATGCAGCAAGCAGCGTCCTGAAGAAGATTCTGGACAAGCACCCCTAAACCCTAAACCCTAAACCCTAAACCCCTAAACCCTAAACCCTAAACCCTAAAGGACAAGCACCACCGCCAGCGCGAGACTCGCGAGTACCATCCCGATGCCAACAAGGAGCCCGGGAGCTGTCCCGATTCTTGCGGGCCCTAGGGCTTGCAGGGTTTAGGATTTAGGGGTTAGGGGTTAATTAGGGTTTTAGGCCCTAAACTAAACCCTAAACCCTAAACCCTAAACCCTAAACCCTAAGCCCTAAACCCTAAACCCTAAACCCTAAGCCTATAAACCCTAAACCCTAAACCCCATATACCCTATAAACCCTATAAACCCTATAAAGTTCTATAAAGCTTGAAAAGCACGCTGCCAGGAGCCTGTGGGCGAGGATCACGCCGAGGTGCCACCAGGAGCTGGAAGCCAAGAGGAGGCCTTGCTCCAGCGTCAGGCGAGCAGGGCCAGAAGGGGGGGCATGGGGGTGGGTGGGGTGGGGGGAGTTTAAACCCTATAAACCCCAAACCTAGACCCTAGACCCTAAACCTATAAACCTCTAAACCCTAAGCCCTATAAACCCTACAAACCCTTTCTACCCTATAAGCCCTATAAGCCCTAGAAGCCCTATAAGCCCTACAAACCCTAAACCTGGTCTCGAGGCACGGAGCTCGGAGAAGGGGGAAGCTGCAGAGCAGTCCTTGGATGATTCGCTTGCCAGCAGCTGGGTT